TATATATATATATATATATATATATATATATATAAGGTGAAGTTGCAATATAATCATTGAATTTGATTATATTGTAGTACAAAAATTAATAGGGAAAATTTGACTTTGCATCTCTTGTTTTAGGTGATATTTGAGTTTGCACCATATTTTTAAAATCATTAATGTAAACACCTCAATTCACTATAAAATCGTTTGACTTTGCACCTCATTCATTTACGATTTTTGGTTAATGGAGTGCATAGATTATGATTTTAAAAATAGGGTGCAAAGTCAAATATCATCCAAAACATATGCTGTAAAGTCAATTCTCCCATATTAATATTGCACTGCAATTTAACTTAAACAACTTCATGTTAGGCTAGAAACGTACGCATAATATATTTGCTAATTCAAGTGAAGAGCACCGATGATCTTACTCTTATATTACATGTTCCAATTAAAAAGGACATTCTAATTCGTATACGTTAAGCCGGTAATATTCTATAAATCAAATTACTGAGTACAAAAAGGATTAATAAAAAAAATGTATTAATAAAAAATCAATTTTAGATCCAAAATAAGTAAACGTCAATCGGTAGAGCTATCAAACGGGTCAACTTGACCCAACTCGATCCAATCCGACTCAACCCATGCTATATATAAAATCCGCAGGGGCACACGCTCAATCTGACCTTAGATAGTTCTACCCTTAAGTACATACACATGCTTTTGAACATTTTTCTATATACCCCTTCCATCGTTAAAATTTGGTCAAATTTGACCGGAACAGACATTAATGAAATAAAATCTATGTGATTGAGGTTTGTGCAAATAATTGAGATTTAAGTGGAAGCATAAATTCTTTACTTAAAAACGAAAGTGGCAAAGTTAGTGAGGGGCAACCAAAAGAAAAAGTTGACAAAGTGTACAACAATACTTCCCCCGTCCCAATATTATCTTCATTCTTTCCTTTTTTTCGTTCACAATATAAACTCTTCTTTCCCTTTTTGGCAAAAAAGTGTGGTTCACAGCGTTTGTGCTCACTTTCTCTTTTCTCTGCATAATTTTAGGTCACACATTTCTGATTTGTTAATAATGGGACAGAGGAGTAATTTCCTCATTAGGTACTTGGTAGGATTATAACTTGATTTGAATTTTTAGCGTGCTAGGATTATATTGATGATTTTTAGACATACTAAGTAGATGCGGTAGGACTGGATGAGTCCACCCCAGCGCAATTTTTTATTATTATAGATATAGGTTTATAAAAATTTGATGTTCAATTTATCCCAAAAAAATCAAAAGCCCAATTTTAAAGATTAATTTAAAATGCAATTCATAGTTTTAGTATTTGAAATTTTTTAATACATCATAATTGACCATATAATTGAATATTAGAGAATAATTTCATATACAAAAGTTTAACGTGTTTTTTAAGGAGAAGACTTAATTATTATTAATGATGAGTAACAAGAGACAACGCAATACAATAGCTCAAGCCTACACTGAGGTTAGACATTGAATTGACTAGCCTCTGAAAACCCATCAAATTTGCTAACCCGCATCATAATAGACAAATCTAACAACATCGTTGAACTTGCTACTAAAATGGGAGATAACTAAACAAAAATTCTTTAAATAAAAAACAACAAAATAATTCAAGCATCCCGATTTTACCAACCATCAAGAACTCAAGAAGGGAGAAGAGGTTTTTCCATCCACCTCCAAAGCAAGCATCTCGATTTTACCAGCCACCGGAAAGGGAGAAGAGGTTTGACCAGCAACCTTCAAAGGAATCATCTCGCTAGCTTAAGGGACTTATCAATATTTTAGGCGGTGATGTCATGGGAGCACCGCCGCAGTGCCATTTTTTGATCCCATGCCATCAACCTCCTCCATTGAGCTCTCCATAAATGGCCAACAAAATAAATGTCGAATCTGAGACAGAGAAAATGAAGCAACAGAATTCACGAACAAAGCACAAACATGTTCACAATTGGAACGAACCAAATCCCAAACCAGAGAAAACTCATTCGAACGAAACAAAAATGAGCATAAAATCAGTCGGAAAAGAAATTACATGCGATGAGAAAACCTGAAAGGAGATCGCCAAAACTACCTCAAATATATATCATCCACGCTCGTTGGTGAGATGGAAGAAGAAGAGACAGACGTCCGCTTGTTTTAAATCACATTAGATCAAGTGATATTTTAAATCAATTATAAATATTAATCTAGTGTGATTTAAAGCACTTGTTTCAAGAAGATTTTACTAAATAAGATTCTTATTATAGAATTTGAAACTAATTCTAAGTAGGTATACAACTTCTCAAATGAAAGTTAAACTTGTCATGTAAATATCAACCCAATTCTCACATTAAAAAATACACTTTAACATCTAAAATACACAATTAAACACAAAATCATCAAGGTAATTTCGGGCTTTGAACACATAACCAAGTTTATATGAACAGAAATATGTTTAACCGGGTATATGAAATCGGGAAGACATACTGTGTGCCCAAGTCATATTTTGAGTCCAAGCTTATAAATGATAAAAAGTTATATAAAATGTTTATTTACAGAAGGTTATATAGTCTAAATTTCATTCTCTAACATGGTGAAACATATTTCGAATATGGTATTAAACATATTAAGAACTTATGTAATTCTATCTAAACACTTTAAAATCTATTTCTGCTGATTGAATGAGCCCAAACGCTAGATCCACACCACTAATATATACGCCATTCTTTCCTAAAAAGAATGACTAGAAAAGAATGACCTGTGAGTACGAAAATGCAATTCATTGGGGTTACATTATTTATGTACAGATAATTTATGTACAGATAATTTGACCGGAATTTTGTGAAGAAAACAACAACAAAATATTTGTGTTAAAGATTTTTTTTTGTCTGTGTGAAAATCGATTTTCATCTTAAAAGGTTGTTCAAATTGCAGGTAAAATTGCGTGTACAATGCCTTAAGGAGTGCTTGCAAATGCTTTTGCTTTAAAAAAACACTTTTGAAGTGGTTTCGGAAAAAATGATTAATAGTACAAGTCGACAATACTCGAGAAAAACGTGATTTTAAAAAGTAAAAGTTGGTAGTGTTTTGCAAAATATGTGCCTTTTGTATAATAGAAATAGTAAAAAGCAATTTTCAGCCAAAAATCGAAAGTAGAAATTATCATTTGAAAACACTAATTTTAATTTTTTAAGACAAAAGCCTAGAAACTTTTTTTTATGAGAAAATTGCCAGCCGTAGGACCAAAACATACTATTTTTACAAAATTAGAACTGCCTAATGTTTGTTCCATCCATGTGACTCCTATACTCCTATTTTAAGAAACTCAATTATTAGTTTCCAAATTGTCCCTTCAGTTGCTTTCCTTCTTCCGATCAGAACAACGTTCAGGACAAAGATATGGGTGCAACAACGAAGTTGAAAGATGAGATCGCAAAGAATGAAGGCGGCGGTTGATCATCAAGCGGAGCCGCGGAATGTTGATGCCGTAAAGCACATTGAACGCAAGCTTGCCGAGCAAGGTGTTCAGATCTGGGTGCAAACTAAAGGAGGGGTTCTCGCCGCCACTGCCTTGCCGCCATCTTTGCACCGCTGCCTTGTCAGTATGCCGCCGCTGCGGTGTCAGTATGCCGTCGCTGACTTCTTGCTGTAGAACTAGGGTCTTCTGCCGCCACCGTGTCAATATGTTGTGAAACCAGTTTATTTATTGTCTACTTATTGTCTATTGAATGTCTATTATTTTTTAAAAGTAAGAGTATTGTGGTCAATGCAGGCGTAGTTGAGTCTTACACTAATCTTCGGTCTTAGTTTTGGAAAATCCGTACCTTTTGCTCCTAATTGTTGAAATCTCCCTTTTTTGTTAGTATTTTTTTATTATGCTTTTGCAAACCTTAGTACACAAAACAAAGCCGAACCTATGAGTTATACTCCGGCGTATATCATCAACCTGAAATGTAATGCCAAAAAAGAACATTGAACACCGCGAGATCTGTCATTCGAATACCGTGATCCACAGTGATCAATGATTGCACATGAATCATATTTCCTCCATCTCCATTCGTCGCTCAAATCTAGGTGAAAAAGTTAATGTTATTGTACTGTAATTCGTGAAGGTTGTATCAGACAGGAGTTGGGGGCGAAAAATGCCAAGCGTCGGTGTGAAGCTTTATAGTGTATTCTTCAAATTCATGCTGAAGCATCGCTTGCAGAATCGATTTCAAAACCAGGTTACAGACGGACCCGATGGCAGCAGCACCGCCGCATTTGGAGTCACTTCGCGGCCGGAAGAAGAGTCCATAGCCGCCGCTAGTCCCGTCTTTACGGATGGAGTGGCCACAAAAGATATCCACATTGATCCGTTAACTTCTCTGTCCATTCGAATCTTCCTTCCCCAAACCTGCCTTGATTTCCCCGATCCCGATTTCAGACTTCAAGCTAAATCCAAGGTTAGGGCTACCGTGAGCAAGTCAGAGTCCGTTCCCGGATCCGATTCTAATCAAACACTTATTCGCCGAAGTAGCTACGGCTCTCCCGCCACTAACAATAGATCCATTTCTCGAACGGAGAGTATTAATCAGAGTTTTAATTACAATAATCACCCAAGAAATAGTCACGGATGCAGTGCAGATGATCTCAGATTGGCATCCACTAACGGGGTTTACAGAGGCTACTCACCTGCCAGTAAAAACTGCCGGAAGTTGCCGGTGATATTGCAATTCCACGGCGGAGGTTTTGTGACAGGAAGCAAGGATACTGTGGCGAACGATATCTTCTGTAGAAGGATCGCCAAGCTCTGTGATGTGATTGTGTTGGCCGTTGGATACAGGTTAGCTCCAGAGAATCGATTTCCTGCAGCTTTCGAAGATGGGTTGAAGGTGCTGTATTGGGTAGCTAAGCAAGCCAATTTGGCTGAATGTTGTAAGTCCTCAGTGGGAAGCAAGCAAATTGCAGATGCCTTTGGAGCATCAATGGTGGAGCCTTGGATGGCTGCTCACGGAGATCCGTCAAGGTTAGCCTTCACTCCCTAGAAAGACTTTATTTTGATTCTTACTGGAAAAGAATAGCGAATAACTGATTAGTTTGTTAGGTTCATCATTTAAAATTTAAACTTGTGGAAATTGTGAAAATCTCCTAACAGTAAAGCTTGGGACGTGTGATCTTTCGGCATCTGTCACACTTCATGATATTGGGTAAAGGACAGCTTCAAGAGCAGATGGTTGAGCACTCAAATATAAGGAATATTATATTTGACAATTCTATGTGTTCCTTTGGTTGGTAATTAGTTTAGAAGGCACTAGCAAAGGCACTAGGCACACCCAGGCGATAGGGAAATCGCACCTTAGCCTCCCAGGCACAGCAGATTCTGAAAGGTGCGCCTTATCCCTCGCTTCTAGCCGCTTCTCCCCTTCTAGCCTCCGACTTCGAGTAAAATGAACCAAAACGCCTCATGTCGCCTCTTGCCTTGTAAAATTAAGGTTCTGTAGTCTTCAATCATAAGCAATTGGAATACAAAACTACATGTATAGGGTACATGATATCCTTTAATGTGTGCTCAAGTGGAGACTAAATTAGTAAAATAAAGATATTTTGAACTAACAAAGAACTCTATACGTTCAACTTTCACCAAAATGCTAAGTTTGTTAAATTACATGGTATCTTAAGAAGTGAACAATTTTATGCTTGTGATTGATAATGAAACCCACTAAAGTGTATTAGTATTATACTATCTTACATATCAATATTATATAATTCATCCGGTTCACAGTGAGTGGCAATTTTGGAGGATTTAATTGTAAACAATAAGTGTCAGTTTATTACACCTAAAACAACATCTAATGCTATTTTCCGTTTTAACCCTTTTTAGAAAACCAAGACAACATATTTAGGGGTATTTCGAGAGGGGTTAATGGGTTATATTGTCAAAAAATCATTTAATGATTCATCAAGATGGGTCTTCCTCCCAAGAGACACTTACAATGATTGTTGCGCTTTTTTACTAATGACATTTTCATTTTTGTCTCTATTCTTTTTCCCTTGATTATTCAAAATGGCTTGAGAATATGATGGAATAAAGCAAATTGGCTCATTAAACTGTCTGCGCTTCTTCGCTTCTTTGTTATGAAGCAACAATCAATCTATGCAATTTTTGACGCGATTTTCACCATGGGTCATCCGGAAACAACCTCATTGTACATCCGATCCCCCCCTACCCCCCACCGTAGGTGGGAGCCTTTGCGGCACTGGGGTAATGATGATGGTGATTCAAGTCTTTTTCCCTATCAACCAAACTACGTAGTTGTTGGGCTATTTAATTATTAGGAAGTTAATTGAGGCTTCAGCCCATGAGCGTGCGTGTAGAGAGACGGTCCGATCCAGCACATCATATTATATAAAGAGGGAGGTTTTAAATGAAGCAAAGTGATAAGGGTCAATGACCAAGTTCCAGATTTGATGGAAGCGAGGCTAAATTGACGGATGGTTATCTGAATACACGGATCGTTGAAGGCAAGCTGGGGGTGATCTTGGCGAATAAATAGAGGATATCATAGTTTCAGTTGTACACACATTATTCAAATCTCAAGAAAAATTTATTTATTGTATTTTATTTATCAAATCTTGCACGTTCCCATATCAATTTTTACGCTCTTCATTCATACATTCATATATTAGTTTTTTAGTTAAAACAGTAGTATAGATGATGATAAGGTTTAAATGAAAGAATGAATTTGGATTCGTATGACAGTATTTTGTTTGAGGTTTCTTGTTCATTGAATACCAACTAAGTGCTGCTGATTCTGCGTTACCTCTACAGGAGGGAATGAAAGATCTGCAACAATGTGCATTGCTTGACTTTTTATCTGTTAGAATAGTTGTTTCCGCGTAGTAAAAGTATATTCCGTGCTATGTTGTCTTTGCTTCTTGCATGCTCCATTCTTGCATATTAGGTTCTCTGTAGAAATCATATAAAGTTTTGTGAATTTTAATACTTCGTATTTGAGTTAACCAGATGAGGTCATTTACGTCATTATCATTCATGTTGTTTTGAGATATATATCTGAACTCTGAAGTAATGAAGTTGAATCTTTCTACCACTCCAAAACTGTCTATTGTCTTCATAGTGTAATTATGAACAACATTCGGCGCATTATGCAGATGTGTACTCCTTGGAGTGAGCTGCGGGGGTAATATTGCCGATCATGTGGCACGGAAAGCTGTAGAGGCAGGCAAGCGCTTGAACCCGGTCAAGGTAGTGGCGCAAGTTCTAATGTACCCCTTTTTCATCGGAAGCATTCCCACACACTCGGAGATGAAGCTTGCCAACTCCTACTTCTACGACAAGGCCACATGTATACTCGCGTGGAAATTATTACTACCAGAGAGTGAATTCAATCTTGACCACCCAGCCGCCAACCCACTTGTCCCAGGGAGGGGACCTGCATTGAAACGGATGCCCCCAACATTGACAATAGTGGCAGAGCATGACTGGATGAGGGATAGGGCCATTGCCTACTCAGAGGAGCTGAGGAAGGTAAATGTTGATGCGCCGGTGTTAGACTATAAGGATGCAGTGCATGAATTTGCAACTCTAGACATGCTTCTTAAGACCCCACAGGCTCAAGCGTGTGCTGAAGATATCGCCATATGGGTTAAGAAGCACATCTCTCTGCGAGGTCATGAGTTTTCATACTGAGTTATGAATTCAAGGACAGTCTTGTAATTCCCTGTGCCTGATGGGCTTAACATTAAAAAAAGGCCCATTTTGCCCTTTATGTGTAGAGTAAAGAGAGGTATACTTTGGGCCTGAGATGACGGTCTCCTTACAAGACCGCCTTGAGTTTTGATCACACTATGCTGCACAACCATGGGACTGTTTGTATGTGGAGATGTCTGTCTGTTGACAATGATGATTTGGGTGTAAGAAAGTACTTCCCCGATCGATTGCAGAATTTGAAGATAAACCCCGTTGTAGGTGCTCCCCCAGCTAATTCTCTTCATTCCATTTGTTATTGAATTTGTACAATCCTTGGTGAATATATATATTATTATTTTTACTCTTTTCCTTCTCTCTGAATATAATTACACTCCCTCCGTTCCTAAAAATTCTTCCCGGTTTGACTTGGCACGCTTATTAAGAAAGTGGAATAAAGTGGAAATGTATGGTTGTGGTTGTGTAAGAAAAAGGTAAAATGAATGTGAGCCACACAAATTGTCCAAAAGGAGAAAGTGGGAAGTATTTTTGGGAACAACCCAAAAAGGAAAGTGGGAACTATTTTTGGGAACGGAGGGAGTATTTGTTTTTTCGCATGCACATTCTTAAAATCCCCTTGTCCCATAGTTGTTATATTATTTCGTGCACGCTTTTCTCTGAGATCTTAAATCCCTCCTCTGATTTGGGGTTTAGTTGCTTGCACTCTTGAACTATTGAAATTTGATGGGGGTTGTTGAATTGTTGTTGTTAGAACAAATTTTGGTTTTCCATAGTTACAAAATGATTTGGAGTTTGGATAGTTTCTCTTATTACATGACTGCCCGTCATTGTAGATTTGTAGACTGGGAACCCGTTTGGTGACCTTTTTTTTTGGCTTATCAAGCTTATCAGCCAGCTTTTTCACCAAACACGTAACTTTTGATTTCGCGCACTGAAGTTTGTAATAAGCAGAAAAAGTAAGGTTGGAGTTACTTTTTTGGCTATTTTGGGTGAAGTTACTGTAGAGGAACATTTTAGCTATTTTTTCATATAATTTTTTATTTAATCTATTAATAACAAATATTTTAAATATAATTTTTTCATGAATTAGCAGAATCAGCCAATACGGCCACTTTAGCTAGAACTTCATAAATTTCAACATAATCAGTTAATTCAGCCAATTTTAATGTTACCAAATGGGCTCTGGGTGTAACTACAACAATACTTTTATGTACGTGCGTATTTTATTGTTGACTTTGTTTTTATTGTACAACTTTGTTAACTTTGAACTTGTTTTAGAGGTCGTTTGGTAGTACTGCTTTTCGACGTATCATGCTTATTATCAACCAACTTTTTCATCAAACATGTAATTTTTGTTTTCACGCGCTGAATTGTGTAATAATAAGAAAAAGTAAGGTTAGAGTTACTTTCTGGCATTGACAGAAATTACTGTAGATTATCATTTTAATTATTTTTTATATTTAATTTTTTCTTTATTTTATTAATAAAATATCTTTCAAAATTAATTTTTTCTTAAATCAACAGAATCAGCCAATGCAGTCACTTCAGTCAGAACTTCATAAATTTCAGCAGAATCAGCCGAATTTTCATGTTACCAAACGGGCTCTTAATGCATTTAGTTGAATTGGGTACTAATTAAAAATAATAATAGTTCATAAGATGCGTATAAGATAAATGAAAATGTATGGGTTGTCTATACTAATTTAGTCAATGTAGTTCAATTTATTTGAAATATATTTTTAGATAATTTTTCCATCATTTGTAATGGAATCAAAAACTTATTATTATTTGGCTTGAGAATATGATGGAATAAAGCAAAATGACTTTTTGTGGCTTTGCGCTTCTTTGATATAAAGCAGTAGTCAGCTCATGCAATTTTCACTTTGAGTCATCTGGAAACAGTCTCTTTGTGCTTTAGTACAGGGGTAAGATTGTGTACATCCGACCCTCCTTACCCCACGAAAGATGTGGGAGCCTTTGCGGCACTGGGGTAATGATGATGATGATATTTTTAGATGATTAATCTATTTAATCTTAATTAGCTGCTTCAGATCTTCTCCGACAATTCTGAATACTCCAGACTTAACATTATTATTAAAAATGTTATTATTATTGTTATTCCTAATAATGTTTCAAAAAATAAATAAAATACTTGTTTAAAAAAGTATCTCCCACTCTTTGAATTTGAGATGCCCACACCCTTAATGTTTGTAAAGATGAAAGGGAAAATTTTACAAATAGGACACAAACATAAGAAATTTTCAAAATTAGGACTTCATTCATCCGTAGGACATAAGTACATGCAAATTGACCATTTTAACATTAATTTTAAAACTCTGGCGCCACGTGTAACCACCCTGCGGCTAACAATTAAAACTTCCCGCAACTCAAAAACATTAAAACTTTCCGCACGCCAAATCTTCCCTACGCCTTCACCTTCTTCAACCGCAACTCAACGGATAAATCATTTCTCCGATCTTCCACCTTCTCCTTCAAAGAGCAACGCCGGGCGATTACTACAGGCGACGAACGAGTCAGTAAAGACGAATAAATGGTGAAGAGAAAAACTGAGGCTGAAAACATTGAAAAAGCTGAAGAATTTGAAGAAGGCCAATCAGACAGTGATTTCGAAACAAAGAGCCCTAACAAATCAAAGGCGCAAAACATTGAAAACGTTGAAATTGTTCTTCCGTCTGGTGAAGTAAGTTGTTCGATTCAATTTTGGGAGATCATGATGAAATATGCAACTAAAATTATCTACTTCTCTTATTGTCTACTTCTCATATGAAATTGTCAACAAATCTGTATAAGTTATTGAAAATCATTATATGACTACTTGTCGTACATGTTGTTATTGATATTTGACCAAATACAATCGTCCAGTTCCTATCCAAGTAGTCAGTAATAGATTTGGTCCTATTTGTATAATTTTTCATTGATTGTAGAAGTACTTCTCTTACTGACTACTTCTCTTACATATATCTTATTTTATTAAATAAGAAATGAATAAAAAAGGACAGAGAGGTAGATATGTGAGGAATTATATGACAAACAATATATACATAAAATATTGTTAATCATGTTATTTGTTCACTAACAATTATAATACTTATGCACTTATTATGACCAGACAATTGTAAGGTCAATTGCAAATCCTGTTTTGTGTACAAAGAAGAAGATAAAACTGAATTGCTATTCAAATGTGCATAATGCCATTGAAGTCATAAAGAAGATGTTAAATGAAGAGCAACTCAAAGAATTTAGAAATACAAGTTTTGGAGGACTGTTGGACATGGGTAATCTAGAATGGATGAATGGACAGTTGTTGGTATTAATAGCTGAAAACCATGTGAAGAAGCTTAACAAGAAGATTTGGACAGACATGATTAGTTTCCATATAGGAAATAGGATGGTGAGTTTCAGGAAGAATTATTTGGCATTAATAACAGGATTTAAGATGGGAGGAGAGAAACCTATAGTACCTGGAGAAGACAATATATGTGACATATGGAAAAGATTTTTTAACGGAAGGACTAATGTTTCAAGGGCTGATATAACAAGGGCTTTTGAGAAGTTTGATAATATACATGTGCAAAAGGAACCCATAGATAAGGTTAAGCTGGTAGTACTTAATTTGATTGCAAATTTTATCATTGGGAACCAGAAGTCAGTGAAATGTCCACCAATGTACATCAACATGGTAGATGATCTGGATTTAGTGAAGCAATATCCTTGGGGAGATGAAATATGGAGAGATTTATTGGAAAAAGTGCCTAAGTGGACACAGAATATTAAAAAGGCAATAAAAGATAGATTCACCTTTCTAGGTTTTGTTTTTGCACTGCAAATATGGGCATTTGAAAGCTTCCCAGCTCTTAGGTTAGCAAATGTTTGTACGGTAGAGGAAGGCAGAAGGTCAATGTGGCCAAGACTGCTGAAGTGGTCAGTTCCAAATAAGACAAACATTGCTACACTAGCAGATGCAATATTTCAGAATGAAGAGGTAACTTTATTTTATTGTCTGCTTTATTTTATTGTCTATTTTACTTTATTGTCTGCAATGCAGTTTTTTTTGCCCGTTTTATACAGTTTGAGTATCAACCAATGAAACCAACTGAAGAGAAACTTAAGATTCCAGAAATACAGGAGTTGCATAGAAAAAAGACAGTAAAGTTAGCCAAAAGAAGCAATCTTACTTTGAAGCATCAACTATCAAAAGAGGAAGCAGACTTTGCTATTCATGAACTTGAAAAAGCAATTGCAGAGATCCAAGATGATCATGAAGCTCATGCTGAGCCCACTGATAGTGTACCCACTGACTGCAACCATAAAGAAGATGTGGGTATGAAAGAACAAAATGGTGAGAGTGCAATAAGGTCATTATGCGTCATATAATGGCTGCAGTTATGCTCCAATCTAAGAAGACCCAAAAGCTTGAGGCTAGACTAAAAGTGTTGGAAGATGGAATGCAAAGACTTCTCAATGGTCAAAAGGAGCAAACAGATATGCTAAAAGCATTAATGCTTACAAGAAGCACATCAAATGGACAAGCTGAAAACAAGGAAGAAGAAACGGGCTTGGATAACGATGAAACATCTGACACAAGGGCAGATGAAGAGGATTTGGTACCAGACATGCCTAGTTTTGACCTACATCTTGATCAAACACAGAAGGGTGAAGGAAATATCGTGCAAAATTTACAAGCTGCAGACCGTGAGGACCATAAAGTCAATAAAGAAGTTGAAAGCGAGGATGCAAATCCAATAGGTGCCCAAAAAGAGAAGACGGTAATCTTTGAAGAGGAAGGTTCACTAACTCAAGCTCAAGCAAGCATAAACACACAAGAGTTAGAATTGCGTGTTGACATTGTCCTTCATGATGTCATTAATGACTTTAAAGAATCTGACAAGAAAATAGAAGAGGTAACTTAAATATTATTACACTTTCAGTTTTAATAAAAACACTAACTACAATATATTTATTATGAAATTATAGGAAGATGAAGCAATGACTATGGACGCTGAGGATTTAAAAGAAAGAGGAGTTACTTTCGCAGATGAAAATGTATGGGTATTATTTCTAATTGCACATATTGTGACATCACATAAGCATTAACAAACATTAATTTTTTCGTAGGTATTTGATGCTGGACAGAAGACCATAGAAGATAGTGAATCGAATAAGTGTGAGTCAAGCAGTAAAGAAGAAATAGATGAACAAATCAGAAAATGCTCACAACTTTAAGGATGAGGTAATTGGTTATATTCAACAACGAAACTTAAGAAAAAACATTTAAATAGTCCAAATGGTTAACAAAATTAAAGAGACATTAATTACTTATTATAATGACATATGGAACTTACAACAAAGTTATAAATGCACAGGATCGAGATACCGGTGTTATTGGAACTGAACAAAAAGACTTTAAAAGGTCAAAAAGGACTGCTAAAAGTCCATACACCCCTAACCCAACCACAGAAGCAAAGAAAAGGAAAATGGAAAGGGCACTAAAGAGGAGAAAAGAGAGAAAAATCTGAAGTGATTGGAATTGCAGGGCCATTCAGTGAGGATCCAAAGCAAATGTCACCTACACAAGATTTAGAAAAGGTGAAAGAATTTATGATGGAGGGGCTAGTAAAGAACCATGGCAGCAATGTCCCAAAAAAAATACAAAAAGAAAGAAGAGGAACTAGTGAAATGCAAGTATGGTTTGCAACTGACGATTTTACCATAAGAACAAAGACATGGATTTATGAACTATTCACAAATCCACATTGATTGACTGACACTGTAAGTGTATACGAATTTGTGTAATATATAAACTGTAATACTATATTTCATAAAACATAATTGAGAAATTGATTTTTACTTATTTCAGCATATGGGAGTGGCATTTTACTACCTGGCAGTGAAACGAAAGCAGTACCAACTGCAGCAAAAATATGCCACAACAGACCCTTTGTTTCTCGGGATGCTCAAGATGAAGGGTGAAATGGTGCTTAATGATAAAACAACAATGACAGATGATGCTTATAGTGGCACAATAATGAACACAATGCTTGGATCAAATAGAGGACATGGGTTACCGTGGGCAGAAACTGATTATGTCTACATGCCATTGAACACGACAATGCATTGGATACTGTTGGTCTTAGACATTAATGGTAAATGAATAAGAGTCTACGACTCTTTAAAGAGAAGGGGAGATTCACTGGCAATCATTAGGGCCTTCATTCCTTGCTTGGAGACTTTCCTACCAAAGGTGATGGAAAGGCTGGGTGTTTATGACAAGCGGCCAGAGGCACATATTGGAAAAGGAAAAATTCTAATAGAGATGGTTCGTAATTGTCCACAACAGGAGGATGGGTACGTGGGACACAAACATAGTTTAATATATTATGCTTGTTTACCTTTATATTAAAGCATTCATGTCTTTACAGGGGTAATTGCGGTATGTTTATCATAAAATTTGCTGAATTTTTAATGATGAGTAGAGAGGTGACTGAAGTTTCAAACCAAGACATGGAAAAGTACCAACACAAAATGACGACAAAGCTGCTGATGTATGCATCACAAGGAAAGAAGTTGGTTTAATATGATCTATTGATATGTGTACTTGGACTAAGATGATTTGTAATGAATAAGTGTTTTGAAAGGAAAGAAACTTGTAAAACTTTCATCTTTTGGTCATTAATACTTGTTCTTAAATGTTGATAACATTTGATTTGAAATGCTTGTTAATGTTTTATTTGATATTCAATTCATCTGCTGAAGTGAGGATTGAAGTTCATGAATAGACAATAAGTAGTCGTTAATAGAAAATGCGTAGACATTAAATGTGTATAACCAAATTAAGTACAACAACTAATTCAAATGTATAAAGTAAAGCAAATGTGAAATTTAATAAAATTTGACTGCTGAAGTGATATGTTAATATAACTATCATTTTAAGGTATAATATACGTTACATGATATGAATATGAATATAATGTTTTTTTTAACATTAAATTAGTATAATATTGAGATATGGTTAGATTACTATGTACAAAAAAGTGGGATGGTATTATTTTAGTGTAGATGAAAAAGGAAGACAAATCATAAGAGACCATTATAGATGGCACTGTCAAAGGCTCGAGTAAAAAAGAATATAATTAAGGTCTTCTTGTAGACATTAATCAGTACGCAAGTAGACCATAATGTGCATCCATATCAGCAACTTGATTGCTTTTTAACAACCAATAAAGTGAGTGATGGATAGTGTACCCGAGGGGTAGCTTACCCGAGGGGTTATTGCGGAGAATAACTAGAGAGAAGTCAGAGCAAATAAGTAAGAGAGAGAGTGTATATTCGATATGTATTAAGCGTGGTTTACAATGGGGGAAAGGGGTGCTATTTATAGTGGTAATAAATGCTAGATAAGGACACGTGTCAGTTTTCTGGTGGTCGAGGGGTCACCTCGACCGGGGTGGCACTGGCACTCGCATGTGGCCGCATTAAATGCGGTGGTTGGATGTGACGTTTGTACTTGGTACGGTGATCAAGGCGCATGTGAAGAGGATATTCTGTCGAGGTGGATGCCTTCGGCTGAAGGGTGCTGGGCCGAAGGCTCTTCTAACCGAGGGCTCCTACCTGCCGAGGGCTACAGGTGCTGAAGGCTTGGTTTTCAAGCCTTGTTCTCCTGTGATGCCTCTTCTAACCGAGGGCTCCTACCTGCCGAGGGCTACAGGTGCCGAAGGCTTGGTTTTCAAGCCTTGTTCTCCTGTGATGCCTCTTCTAACTGAGGGCTCCTACCCACCGAGGGCTGCAGTTGCCGAAGGCTTGGTTTTCAAGCCTTGTTCTCCTGTGATGTTTCTGAGCTCGATTCTGTCACTGGTAGCCTTCGGCCATAGGGCCGAAGGCACCCCTTTGCGTATTGTGGGCTGCTCAGAGCTCCATTTTGCTGGGCTTGGCCCGTTTGGGCCTGTTGGGCCTGATTGTAGTAGAGGAAGTATGTGGACCGGGGGTCCCTGGGCCATATACTCCATCAGGAGTCCCCCACTCCTTTTGCCGAAAGGTACTTGAGGGAAAAGGAGTAGCTGTGGTGATTTCCCCGAAGGCTTCCCTGTCCTGTTGGGTGCCTCATTTTCTCAATTCCCCCATATGTCGAGGGCTGAGAGCTTCCTGAAGGGAGTGTAAGTGTGTTGCTCGTATGTGTTTCTTTGTTGTAGTTTGTACAGTAATGAGAGATCTGCATTTGTGTGCTTTGCCGAGGGCATTTGTTGACTGAAGGCTTTGTGTGGCTGAAGGCATCATGTGGCCGAAGGCATCATGTGGCCGAATGCATCATGTGGCCGAAGGCATCATGTGGCCGAAGGCATCATGTGGCCGGAGGCATCATGTGGCCGGAGGCATCATGTGGCCGAAGGCATTGTGTGGCCGGAGGCATTCTGTAAGCCGAAAGCATCATGTCGAGGGGAGTAGATTGCCATTGTGATCTTGCGTCAGCCTGCTGTAGCTGAGAAATAGAAATTTTTTAACATTTGCGTGTTTTGCCGAGGGGAGTCCCCCAGTCCCCCACTCCTTTTGCCGAGAGTTTCTCGAGGGAAATAGGAGTAGAGTGATGCATGCCTTCAGCAGGAGTCGTCGAGGGGTGACGCCTTTTGCTCCACAATGGGGAGATGCCTCGTTAAAAACCTCATTAGGAAAAAACCCTGTGGAAAAAAATCCTAATGAGGGAAAAAGAGTACACCGGATGCCCTCAGAATGAAGCAAAAGGAGTGCACCCTTCGGCCTTGATTGTTGAGCGGCGGTTGTGTCCGTCTGCTGAGGGGACATCCAAGATCAGCCTTAGATCCTGCATGAAAAAGCTAAGGAGCTTGTAAGGACCCCCCCCCCCCCCCCCCCCCGTTATCAAATAAAGGTGACGGAGGGGTGCAAGGCCAGGTGGGCTTGTGTTAGAGCCCCTGGCATCAAATACAGATGCTAGAGGGATGGAGACCGAGGGGTCTTCATGATGGCCCCCGTCATCAAATAAAGATGTCGGAGGGATGAAGGCCGAGGGGCCTGTATGATAGCTCCCGACATCAAATAAAGATGGCGGAGGGCTGAAGGCCGATGGCCTGTGTGATGGCCCTCGACATCAAATAAAGATGTCGGAGGGATGCAGGTCGATGGGCCTGTATGATAGCCTCTGGCATCAAATAAAGATGCCGGAGGGATGAAGGCCGAGGGACCTGTGTGATTGCCCCCAACATCAAATAAAGATGCCGGGGGGATGAAGGTCGATGGGCCTGTATGATAGCCCCTGACATCAAATAAAGATGTCGGAGGGATGAAGGCCGAGGTCCGTTGTGATGTGGAATCACGCTGAGGCCGAGGGCCGTTGGTGATGTGAGATCACGCTAAGGCCAAGGCCGTTATGACATAGAGTCATGTTGAGGCCGAGGGCCGTCTGATGTTGAGGCCGAGGGCCATTGTGATGTCCTCACGCTGAGGCCGAGGGCCGTTGTTGATGTTGAGGCCGAGGGCCGTTCTGATGCTGAGGTCGAGGGACGTTGTTGATGTTGAGGCCGAGGGCCGTCTGATGTTGAGGCCGAGGGCCATTGTGATGTGGAATCATGCTGAGGCCGAGGGCCGTTGGTGATGTTGAGGCCGAGGGTCGTCCTGATGTTGAGGCGGAGGGCCGTTGTGATGTGGGATCACGCTGAGGCCGAGGGCCGTTGGTGATGTGAGATCACGCTAAGGCCAAAACCGTTATGACATAGAGTCATGTTGAGGCCGAGGGCCGTCTGATGTTGAGGCCGAGGG